GATACCTTTTGATAAATTTACAAATATTAAGTATCTTGCTAAAGGGGGCTTTGGCACTGTTTTTAAGGCAATATGGACTGATGGATATATTCAAGATTGGGATAATAAAAATAATCGATGGAAGAGAAATTCGCAAACAAGGGTTTGCTTAAAAAGCTTAAATGGTTCCAAAGAAGATATAAAAAGGGAATTTTTAAATGAGGTAAGAATTATAAATATATCGCAAATAATTAACGATTTTACTAAAACACACCAGTGTCTTTGTGCAACATAAAAAACAATAAATATGAAATATTTAAATAAAATTATAGTTAGAGAGTAGTTAGAGGTTAGAGTAAAGCATAGCATGTAGTAAAATTTTGCAAGGAATTTTTTTATTAAAAGTAAAAAGGTGGGTTTATTAGTAAAATTTTGAGTTATTATTATTTTCTTTAAAATTTTATGTTACACTGCTATTTAATTTAATTGAAGATCATTGTGGTGTTGAACACCAGTGGTGTGTTTTAGTAAAATCGATATTCAATTTAGATAGATTTGTTTATTATCATTAATATTTTAGGTCGAAAATCAACATAAACATGGGGGTTCTTTAGCAATTGCAATTTATGGAATAACTAGGAACCCAGATGATGGTAATTATATGATGGTTATGCAATACGCAAAACAAGGAAGTCTCCGAAAATTATTAGATGGTAAATATGATGATTTAACTTGGGAACATAAAATATATAGCTTACATGGCATAGCTATAGGGCTTGTTGCAATCCATAAGGCCAATTTAGTGCATAAAGATTTTCATTCCGGAAATATAGTTAACGAAAATATGTACAACTCTTATATTACTGATTTTGGATTATGTAAACCAGTGTCTCAAGATTCAAGTTCTAAGGAGATTTTTGGTGTACTTCCCTATATTGCTCCAGAGGTGCTGTATGGAGAAAAATATACTGAGAAATCGGATATTTATTCTTTTGGAATAATCATGTCAGAAGTTTTTACTGGATATCCTCCATATCATGATATTCCACATGATTTTAGCCTAGCAACACAAGTTTGTCTAGGTTGTAGACCTGAAATCAGGTGTAAAGTTCCACAATTACTTTTGGATTTGATGAATAAATGCTTAGATGCTGAACCCCAAAGCAGGCCAACTGCTAAAGCGTTAGCAGATAAGCTGGATCAATTTTATCAAGATTTGGCAAATGAAAAAACAGAATTATACAAACAAGTTGAAGAAATTAAAAACTCAGGCAAAAATTCTTCAATACACGATAAAACAAATCAAACAAAATTGACTCGATTTGATTATCAAACACACAAACAAGCTATTTATACAAGTCGGTCTTTGAATTTTCAAAAACTTCCTAAACCAGTAAATGCAGGTAAGCGTATTATCTCTCAGAACATTGGCCTTAAATTTATATTTTAATGTGCAGGCGACTCTATGTGATGAACAGTTCAAGAATTCAATTGTTTAAGACTTTATTTAGTTTTTTGCATTGGATACTGTTTTCATTGTGATCTATAAGAAGTTAAACTAACTAATTCTTAAACTTAATTTTCTAGCAATAAGTCATTCTATCGAGCTTAATGAAGTGCCTGATATATAATTAGCTAAATTTTCTATTACTCGCCTTTGATAAAGGCTGAAATGCCTCATAGTATTTAAAAATAAAATAAATAAATCAAAATAAAAAATCAGCCGAAAGATGACTTTATAAAGTAGATTTGAATCCTGAAGCTCTTGGTATCAGAATATTTTTATTTTTGTACTTCGATACATAATTTACACAATCGTTAACGTTAAGAGGTGTTTAACTATTCATATTTCTATTGGTCAAGAACTCATTAAAGGTGTTATGAATAAATGCTATTAATACTACTGTATTAAAATTCCTTTTTTTAGACGTGTTAATATACATAAATATATTTTCGTTTTGTAAATTGGTCAAACCCAGGTGTGATCCGCTTAAGCAGCCAATTTGCTTCACGTTGGTCTTCAACTTCCTGAGGATTTACTGTCATCAAATTTGATTTCATTAATACGTAGTTTAAAGTGCCATTTCAAAATAAGATACTTCAAAGGTTTTTAGCATACCGGTAAGAGGAAAAAAATATAGGCCATTTAAAAATATGGAATAATAAATGAAGAATGTCAGTTGTATTTTAGGATTTAAGTGTTGGCTTAGAAGCGTTTTTTACAAAACATATCAGATATAGATAGTCATGTGCTGCAACTTGCTAGCTAATTTCAAAATTCGTGGGCCACCCTAAGAATTTACCCAGAATTATGAATCGACCAGGGCGGCCCCCGGATCGATGACGCAGCCACAGCCGTATCGATATCAATTTTACTCCTTAATGAACAATTGTACTGATTGATGGCCTTAAGGTTTGTCATCGATTGGCTATTATGATGCTGCGACTGCGCCATCGATCCGCACTTTGGGGGGCCGCCCTGGTTGATTCCAGAATTATTGTCGGAATGCAGGTGGTACGTAGATGATCACAAGTTTATGTATTATATATATCGATATTATGTATAATAAATACAATACTTAAGTTCAAATAACGATTTTTCTAGACTATGTATGATCTATTTGATATAATACACATATATTCAATTTACTGAGCCAAATTAGTATATAATTGAATATCGATTTAAACGCACGTGATCACCCGCCATCCCGACAATAATTCTGGATAAATTCTTAGGGTGGTCCACGAATTTTGAAATTAGCTGTAAGTTTAACTAGATATGTATTTGACCATGATTGTCGGGATTCAAGTGTTACATTATCATTATAAATTAAAATTTATAATTTAGATATGTCTTCTTGCTTAATAACTTTAGGATTTTTTTTATTTCGAACTTGTTTTCTATTAGTCCAATCAGTACGCTCCAATTTCACGTGATTTGAATTTATAATCACATGATAGCTCAAAGTAAGGATGCGGGTTATACCTATACCGTATTATACTACTTGTTGTATTATACAAGTATTATACGAGTATTATACACAGAGTTTTAGGTATAATACCAATAATAGAAATGGGTTAGCCAATTAAATTGCTTTATCTGCAATTCCGAAGTTTCCCTTAGAACAATATATAATGGTAGCTATACCCTACCATATTATACGGTATTATACCTGGTATTATACCATTTTCTATTATACCGGTATAATCACATCCCTAGCTCAAATGCATGCCCTGGGACACCGTGCCCTAACCCTATTCACATGATATTATTGGTATTACGTACATATACGTATAATCACGACATATACCGTAAATAATGATATCATAAGTACGTACGTGTGTGTTCTTTATATTGTTATTAACCAAAAATCATAATTCCCCCCAAAACCATAATTTTACTTAAAAAGGATTTTTAGAAAATCAGCCTACATCAGGAAATTTTAAAATCGAAAGATTTCAACACCATTGATTAAAATTGAAGCAGATTTTTATCGATTATAATTGATAATAAATAAAACTATTGATTATAATGATTTATTTTAATCATTTTAAATCGCTTTTAATTAATTTTTGTATATGTTGATTATAATATTATCAATTTGGTTTAAATTGATTATCAACACCGTCGATTATTATCGATTAAATTTAATCGATAATAATCAAATTAATTGTTAGTGATCGAATAACTTATGTAAGATTGTACTATATAATACATTATTATAGAAGATAAATAAGGAAGTCCATACTATTAAGAAATAATGCAAATAAGGAAATAATAATAATACAAAAATAAGTTTAAATTTTGAACTTACACCTTGGGCGTTATTTCACAACAATATGATATATCGACATGAAATTATATTTAAAGAGCTTATATGCATGCAGAAAATAATGAAAGTAAAAAATTTACAAGATGTTGTCAATTAAATCTTTAGCTACAGTCTTATTTATAACAGCAATACTTTTTAATATCGTGAATGGAGCTGACCCAAATCGTATGCTTCAACTAGTTAATGCTGAACGTAAAAAAGTTAATTCGCCTGATCTGACTTTAGATAAGTAAGTTTATTTATTGAATGAATTATTTAATTGCGGAGCAATAATAGAAATAAAGATTTAAGCAATATATTTCTTAATATGATATTATGGTTTTTTTTATCATTAACATAGTCGGCTTAATAAGGCTGCTCAAAACCACGCTGATTATATGGCAAATGTTAAAAAGTTAACTCATGATGAACCATCAGGAGATCCTGGTGCTAGAATGAAAGCCCAGGGTTATAATTGGTCTGCGTATGGAGAAAATATTGCTCAAGGCCAAAAAAATGAAGAAGAAGCTATGAAATCGTAAGTGTTAATATATCCACTTCTAAAATCAAAAAAATACATGCGATTAATATATCTTGATTATTTAATTTATTGAATTATTTTAAGGTGGATGAATTCTCCACCTCATAGGAAAAATATACTTGATAACAAGTTCAAACATTTGGGTGTAGGATATTCAAGTAACGGTGATTATTGGGCTCAAAATTTTGCAGCCCCAATGTAAAGAGTCTATCATAGCTAAAAAAAAGAGGCTTTTTATATAAGAAGCCTAGCATAGTTAAAAGCAAGGTTTTTGTATAATAAATGATATGATCAATATCCAAGTGATTATTAATATTATACCCTGGTCACTATATCAAGATCGCAGGGTATAAATCAGTTATACCCTGGGCACTATGTGTACAAGCGGAAATTTCATTTCCGCTTATACCCAACTACCCAGGATATAACTATTACTTATACAGTCGTATATCTCTAAAAAGTTATATTTTCTCTTATTTGTTTTCTTAGTTATGTTTTCATATTTGAGTAAAATAAAAAATTTTTATGTTTTATGTATATATATTGAGTTATATCCCAACCTTACCTATTCGTACCACTCAAAAATTAAAAAAAAAATATAGAAAAAAATTTTTTATGGTAATATTACATTATATAGGTAACATTTGAGTCTAATAGATATATTTAATTCTTGTATAATCATAAATATTAATATTATCTAATTTAAATCAATAAAAATTATTTTTTGCTATTTTTAATTATAAACTAGCATATACGTATGATCACTTATATGTATGTTTTGCTGTGTTGATATCCTATCATACACTGGCGATCATAAGTAGTGCAACAAAAAAAAATTTTTTTTTAGATCGCAATATTTCACGCAATTCTGGGTCT